TATATGAGTGTGTATGGAGTAGGCATGCAATTTATGTTCAAAGTCACGGAAGAAATTTACATTCATATGACATAATCAAGTACTCAAAAAGCAACTGAATAATCAAGGGGCCCTCCTATGGGCCTATGTCAACCGTAACTCATATTAGTCAACAAGAAGGCTGGTGGCCCAGAAAGTACACAGGTTTGCAAGAAATGACTCCATCTTTCTGTCTGTTACTGTGAATCTCAGGAGCCCAAGCACATCATTACCACTGCTGCAAAGTGTTCCTTTAGCCCAAAAGCAAAAAGCATTCCAGAAATGGTCAACGTTTGTTGCATGAGCTGTCTCATGTTTCAGCTAGGTTTCTGCATGTTCTTAAATCAACAGGTCCCTGATGAGAAGAGACGGCTATGCAGTGTAAACCTGAGAGAGACCTTGGCCTCTAGGCTGCCGACAGTCCAAGAGGCCACTGTTCTCAGTCTTCTACCAAAACGTATCATCCCTTGGAGCACTGAACCAATTCACACTAGTTAAGCTAACATCCGTGCAGGACATGTTTGGTCCCTCTATATTATCAGTCAGCAAATTACAGACGCATGGGCTGACAGCTCGAGTTTTTCATTAGGTCCCCAGAAACACCAAAAAATACATTAAAAACAACTCTGGAATATTTTCTTCAAAGCTTCTTATTGTTTATACTTAACCCTGTCTATTGCATGTCAACAAGCTTCCAAGCACTTCACCTACTAATTGAATACAGATCCTTCACCGCTTCTTGCCCACACCAATCGGGAGCAACGAATGGTGCTCTTTTTCCCCACAACAAATTTAACTTTCCAATAATTAATACTTTCTATATTGGTTTCAATTAAAAAATAATAAATCCCATGGAATATGGAAAAAGCATTTTTTTTGGCAGGCCAATGACTATAAAAGAGAAAATAACCATCTGAAATGAAAACTACTTTCAAATTCTCTTTGGAATACAGTTTGTGCTACAGTTTTATCATTGCCAAGAAGGATGATGAGGAGAGAAACGTCAAGTTACCCTAATGGCATGATCAACAAACTGGCTGGCAGCAGGTAGCATGCAGAGGTACCTGCTTAGCTATCTAAAGGACCAAGGGAAGGAGCTTGGTTTATCTATGGTCTCGTGCACGACTATTTCAGATTGCAGACATACCCGCCACGAAAGGCTACCATTTCTCCTTTCTAGACAGCTGTAGAGATGGACACGCATGAGCAGTCATACACGCCAACACCTCACTTCCAGGGCGGGTATTCTGAGGTCATAATCAGAGTTCACAATTGATGATGTACGAACAGTATGATATGGATGCAGAGATTAATAAACAAATGGATGGATGGACATATGGATGGATAAGAGTCCAGTACTTGATGTCAAGAACTCCTCATCCTATTTCTGGTTTCATCAAAAACTATCTTTTTAAAAAAGATTTCTTTGTAATTATTTTGTAGCTAAAGTTACAGGGAGAGAGAGCTAGAAAGGGATTGATTTATCTCTAGACGGCCACAATGGCCTTGGCTGGGCCAGGCAGAATACAGGAGCCTGGAGCTTCATCTGGGTCTCCCCTATGGGTGCAGGGGCCCAAGAATTGGGACAATCCTCTGCTGTTTTCCCAGGAACGTAAACAGAGAGTTGGATGGGAAGTAGAGCAGCTGGCACTCAATCTACACTCATAGAGCATGCCAGCATTTCAGGTGGTGGATTAACCCCTTTTACCATAACACAGGTCCAACAACAATCTCTTTACAATCCAGGAAAATTGTTCTATTTCTTTCCAACTGTTCTCCCTTATTTAGGTGGCATCTGTCCCCAAAACTCTCTCAGATCCCTTCCAGTTTTCATAGTCTTTGATTTAGTAAAATTAATGGACGCTGCAATGCCAACACCATTTTTGCTGGAATCATCTGGAATCCACAGCACTATAAATATAAAAGAGACTTGGGAGGTCTTGTTAGTTCAGGGATTTCTGAACTTGTGTGGATATCCTGATTCTCCTGCAGGGTCCTCCTGCAGCATTACATGGGCAAGCAATTATGAGCAAGAAGAAGTGCCTGTCTCAAGAATTAATAACTTCAGGGAAGAGCTACACCAGCATGAACAGCAGGGTGGATGCTCAGCCTTGTGGTTAAGGTTGAGATGCCCACATTCCCACAGCTGAGTGTCCCAGGAACGCTCCAGCTTCCGGCTGATGTGGATCCCGGGAGGCAACAATTGTCAGTTCAAGTAATTAGACCTCTGCCAGCCATGAGGAAAACCTGGATGAAGCGCCTGGCCCCTAGCTTCAGCCTGACACAGCGCAGGCCAAGGCAAGCATTTGGGGAGTGAACCAGAAGACCTCTTTCTGTCTCCCAAATAATTAAATAAAACAAAATAATAAGAGGAAGAGAGAGAGAGAGAGAGAAACGCTAGTCCACCCTAGCCTCACAGAGTAAACAGAGAAGTCAGCATTGCCCAAGTCTCCCCAGGAGTCTGTGTGTATTTTGCCTTTTCTAAAAGTCTCTTGTGAAATATGAGACTCTCTACCTGAGGCTATTCCGTCTCTTTATATCATACTTATTTCTGCTCAGTTAACTTTTCCCTAGACTCCAAATTCCACTTGGCAGGAAAGACTGCTTAAAAACAGGTGCCTCTTTGGAGCCACTCTCTTCTGTCTGTTCTAGGGGCCCTTCTCTGAAAGGGCTATTTTCTTAAGTCATAAAACAGCAGGGGCAGAATAAACTGTGTATACAGGCAGGCTGTTAGTCACTTCGCCCTGCTTCCCTGCTCTATCTGCCAATCCTTAAAAGTCAGAGCAGCCACCCCGTGCTTTCTGAAGCCCCATCAACCCATCAACCCGGTACAGGAGATGCTGAGGAGAGCAACAGAGCGGGAATCTCAAGGGGTCAGGTGCTTTACGCTGCTTCCACAGCCAGGTGAGCTAGGTGTGAAAACAGGGTACCCTATTTCCAGAGGCAGAGATTCCCGCCTCCTGGGTGAGCCTCTCCTTCAATTTGACAACATCCTTGCACCTCGCTGCAAGCCTGCACCTTGCTGGAATTGAACCCTGCTTCCTCTGTGGTCCTCAGAGCAGAGCAAAGGGCACCTGGTGTTTATGCTGTGCCTCAGGCAGGGTCACTGTCAGTCTTTAGCATCTCCCCCATCACTGCTCTGGCCAACCAGCAAATGCCCAAGGGGTTCCTGCGTTCTATGATAACTGTGGGATCCTGTCCCCATGGTCTGCTGCACATGCACAGGAAGAACCAGCAGATGTTACAAGTTGTACAGCAACCCAACTTTGAGGACAGAAAGAAATATTCAGTGGACTTAAGCAGAAAAAGCCTGGGCCCCGTACTGTCTGTGATGCTGGCATCCTCTGTGAACATTTGTTCATTTGGTGTTGGCATCCTCTGAGTACACTGGTTCAAGACCTGGCTGCTCCATTTCTTATCTGGCTGCCAGCTAAGACAGCCGCTGATGGCCCAAGTACTTAGACTCTGGCCACCCATATGGGACACCCAAATGGATTTCCTGGCTCCTGGCTTAAGCCTGCCCCAGCCCTAGTCACCGTAGTCATTTGGGGCATGAACCAGCAGGTGGAAGACTATCTCCCCCTCTCTTTAACTTTGCCTCTCATATAACTGAATATATCTTAAAAAAAAAAAAGAAAATGAAAACCTGAAAATGGGTCCTCAGTGGAGGCATGAGACACAAAGTGAAGGGTGTCTTAAGCCCAGTGAATGGTGGCAAGGGCACCCTAGGAAGGCAGGAAGTTCATTTGGAGACGAATGAATGAATGAATGAATGAATGAATAAAATGTCAGTGCCAAAAACAGTGTATTTGTCAATTGTATAATCGCATTTTCCATGAACTTTCTGAAGCCCTTCCACCATGAAACCCTGGATCCTGTGGATCTTTCTCTGCTGGCCTACCCAAGGGCACTGGGAAAGCAGAAGCAGCAAAGAAAACAGTTCTAGACGGCAGCTGAGATGGTATGCACTCACGGCCAGGGCTGCGGGAAAGGCAGAGCTGCACCCAGGGTCTGCCTTGGACATTCCACAGGAACCAGCATCCCTGGAAGGCCCTGTGGGGCACTGGAGCAGCAGCTGGGGAGCCAGGGGAGACAGGGCTGAGAGGGGAAGTGCTCTACTGGAACCCTCAGCCTTCCCTGGGCTGCTTCCCTGCACCAGGTCGGGGCATCACCACTATGCCCTTCCAAAGATGCTCACGGGCAGGCCATCACAGCCACGGATGAAGCCGAGGTTCCCAAAGGCTCTGTAGCTTGCTACAGCCACAGGAGCTCCATTCAGGGACTTCCAGGGTCCAATTAAGGGCCTGCCCTGCCTCATCCCAGCTTCCTGCGATGAAGGAAATCCTGCTTCCCAGCCCTGTTCACTTGCTGCTGAGAGGAGAGCAGTTCTCCATGAGGGTCCTGATGCAGTTGGGACGCTGTGGGTGCTGGTCCAGAGCTTCTGTCAGCACCCCAGACCTGAACCTGCAGCCTGGCCTCAGCTCCTGGGACAGGGTGGTGGCCTAGAATGGCGTGTGGCTCTTGTGTTTACTCAAATATAGTCATTAAGTCACCGGGAAGACATCTTTCTTGCAGACTAAACAACCCCACTCCTTTTTTAAAAGCTTTCCTCACGGGAGCTCTTTTTGGTACCATCTTTCTGTATTTACAAGTTCCTCCCCCATAGCGCCAGGCACTCTCATACCATCCTGTTCTCTATTTTAAACAATCGCAGAAGATTTTTTTTTCCTGTGGCCAAAGAAAGAAAAGTGTTATTGCCAGTTTTTCCTTTCTAGCCTAACCAGATTCATAACAGACTAGCATGGATAGTAACGGGACTCCAGTGGTCTGCTGACCCTCAGGCCTTTTTTTGTCGGCTCTCCCTGTGCCTGGTCACTCTTCCATCACTGCTTCATTTTGACCCTGCTGCTTGGAAAACCTGAGAGTAGACCTGGGGGATTCCCAGTCCCTGAGCATGCCAGCCACCGGCCGCCCCTACTCACTTCGGGGTTCCCGGGGTCCGTCCACCGTGATCTTGATGGCCCTGTGGTAGGTGGCGACTTGTGGCGGGTTTGTGAAGACGGTGATGGTCAGGGTGAAGCTCTTCCCTGTAGGAACACAAAAAGCAAGGACAAGGAATGGAGTGACAGCCGGAATAGTTCTCTCGGGCGTTCACATCTGCTTGTTGGCCTTCAAACGGGAAGGGTGCCAGCACTGCCCTGGAGCCTGGCTTTGCATACCTTCTGGAATGCACACCTCTGCCATCTAGATACAAGGCTTCATGTGGTTATATAGCTTTAGCTGAACCATCAATCAACAATGCGGGATCAGGAGAGACTGTCAAGATTCCAGGAACCCGTAGAGTCGGATTGGGATCCTGTGGGTCTCCTCCTCACAGCCCCAGGACCCACCCTCCTCCCCTGAGTTTGGGTGCAAGGAAAACATGGCCATTTTCCCCTCTACTTTAGTGTCTACCTTGGGAGATTAGGAAAGATTTATTTCTGAGTCTGAAGAAAGGCTAAATTAGAATTATTCTCTCAACATTGTAAAAGAATATAAATACTTCCTGGTTGCCTTTAGAAATAGTTTCAATTGCCAGAAATTATTAGCGACGCTCAATGGGATTGGTCAGAACACAATTTGTCATTAAGACATGAATTTAAGGCTCTAGAACTGACAGACTGGAATTCAATAAGCGACATAATAAAATCTAACAGTTTAATATAATAGTGTTCATTGAATCTGTCAGCTCCAGATCCTTAAAAGTACATTCCATGTAAACATTTCTTACATATACTTATGGAAGATGATTAGAGCTTTATGGAATATTCTTAATAATTAAAATGTTTTTCTTCTTGTCTCAGGGGTTCAGAGAATGGACTCTGGGTTTAGGTATCAGCTTGCGAGCCTTGCCTAGCAGGTGGGTACATACAACTGCTCATGCCTTACATTTTAGGAAACTTTAAATGAGCTAAGATGATAAAACCACAGACGAATGTCTGGGACATGACACTGAAAAGCGTGTGTTCATGATTTTTCCTCTGTCTCCCAAAACTCCCTCTGTAGCTTTCAACTAAGGATGATGTTCAATTCTCCCTCAGGACAGGCTCACTTCTTACTCAAACAGCACAAAACGAAACCAAAACTCAAGAAAAGGAACACACAGTCTGCCCATCTACTCCGTCCTTGGCATGAAACTTAGTCACCACTACAGAGTCAAATGACCTTCCTTTCCTTAGTTAGGAAGGACAGAATGTTTCACACCAGTTTCTACTCCTTTTTAAATACAAAATAAGACCTAGGCAAAATAACCAATTCCAACATCGTTTTCTGGGCTGCGGAAGCTGGCAACTCCTTCCCTGGGCAAGCCCCAACGTTTATATGTTGTGTCTAAGACAGAAAGATTGGGCGGCACTCGGGGGAGGATGGAGCCTGCCATGTTTGCCACAGATCAGTAACCAGTCTCGGCTGAAGTGGCTGATGCACCTGGCAAACAGACATGGAGTGGGGAGAGACGTGCTGGAGGCCGGGGTACTGGGGATACCAAGCAGGCTGCAGCTGGATGCATCTCCCCCACTGTCTGCCTATCTCCCCTGAAAGAGGCTTCAGGATTGACTATATTCAGACACTCTGAGCTGGCATCTTACTCAGGACTCCTGCTGAAGCCAGCGTGGAAGAGGCCGGGATCCGACCACAAGAGCAGACACTGCAAGGAGAAGGAAGATGCTCACCAGAGGGTGTAGGCACCGAGCCACCTCTGCTGTGCCACTCCAGCTCTGGCCCTCTAGTAGCTGCTCCTGGAGTGAAACTGGTCAGCCACAGCCTTGGAGCAGTCCCATCCATGAGGTCCAAGGCTGGCAAACTCATGGCAGCCTGATAGCTCTCTTTGCAAGTACAGCCATGAGGCGGCAGGCACCCTGCGAGCTTCAGCACCCAGGAGTTCATGGAAACATATCTCCCGAGGCTGCTGTAATATGGCACCTCCCACTGGGTGGCTCCAACAACAGAAATGTAGCCTAGTTCTGGAGACTGGGTGAGCAGGGCCAGGCTGCCTCTGTTGGCCCTGGGGAGGACCATTTCTTGCCTCTTCCAGTTTCTGGTGGTCACCAGCAACCCACACTGTTCCCTGACTCATGGTTACACTGTTGCAGTCTCGGACTCCTTCTGTACTTGGCCTTACTCAGTCCTTGGCTCTCTCTCCTTACAGGACGCCAGCCATTGGTGCCCATTCAAATCCAGTCTGACCTTGCGTGGATTTGATGATGTCTACAGAGACCCCGCTTCTCAATGTGGTTGTCTTTTGAGGGTCTAGTTTGATAGGAATTTGGTGAGAACACTAGACAACTCAGTTCAAATCCCAAATGCCCTGGCAGCTCTGGACAAGGCGCTGTGAATGCCAGGTTTGACAGGCACCTGTGCCATTGGCTCTCTCAACCTGCTCGGTGGTGGCCCTTCTATAAAATGTCTTTGCTGCCATTTCCAAAATTACAGAAATGTAAGGGCATGCTCACAGCTTTGGCATATTTTAGGTCTGTGTAGAACTGACCACTTTTCAAACACTTTCCCCTCTCCTATCACACTGTGTCCTCACAAACAACCTCACCAGATGAAGACGGATTTTATTGTCCTTGCTCAATTGGAATAGCAAAGCGAAGGCTCAGAGGAATTAATTTTCCTGAAGCCACACAGTTCTTTCATTCGGCAGAACTCACATCCCCATGCCCGCTATTTTTGATGGTATTGTCACCAGAGTCATACACCTCTACCTGCAAATTAGTGGCAGCAGCTCAAGGCAACTGACTGGGGTTGGAGTGGGGAGGGGCAGCAGAGGTGGGTACTTAATAGAAGCACTACCACTGCTCCCCAAAGTGAAACTGTCCCTGGGACTTCAGGTACATGAACTGTGCAGCTCCCTGCAAAAATGAGAGTGCAAAAGCAGTTTCCCGCTGAGCTGAACTTGGACTTGAGATGTCTCCCTCGTTAACCACAGACCAGCGCCCAGTTAACCAGGGGTCAAACTGAACCAATCTGAGTATGTGCGAACTCATTGCACATAATGGTTTTCTTGCTATTTGCTGCTTGCCATTGCAAGTGCAGTCACAAGTTTCCAGCTAGCAAAAGCTCCCAGTTGGGGTGGTTTTCACTCCAGAAACACAGCTCCCTAGGAAGGAGCTCTTCTGGGTGTCTCCCTTACAACAGGCTCTGGTTTACAGCTTGGGGCATGAGGGCAACTGCTTGGCATCTTATAGACAGAGGGGTGACTCTTTCCTCACAGGTATATGGACAGTTTTTCACTATGCAGAAGCTCTTCTTTACCCCTTGTTTTTATTCTGCTAAGCAGACCTGGCCCCAGCCTTTACAAGATGCTACAGTAAGAAACTGGGCATGTCTGCCTAATTCTCTCCTATAGGAGCTGTGGGCTCTAGTCTCTGCCTTGCCCATGGCTGCCGAGACACAGCCCTTGCTGGCCAGCACCTGCAGAAAGAAGTGGGCGCTGCAGCCTGGAGCACACGTGTTATTAGCCAAATTAGAATGACCGATGGGCCTGGTATTTGAAGCACGTGGGTGTGGAGGGGGAAAGACTCTCAAGTGTTTTTCTCAGCAAACTGTAGCCAGAAGGGTGAGGAGTCAGAGGAAAGCAGAGGAGGACGGAGCTGCTGGATAACAATGGGACCAGACCGGAAGGCCACAGAGAGAAGTAGCATGGCAATCTGGATCCAGAACGGTCCCTGCACTGTCTGAAGCACGCACTGGCTGGGGTTCATTGAGGCCAGCAGGGGGCTTGGCCAGTGTACCGGTGCCCCTGGAGCTGATGCTGTGTTCCCAGCTGCAGCTCTCAGCTCCGGAGGGCACGACTGGCAGTGTCATACATGCCCCTGCTGGGAGAGTCACCGTGGAAGGTACCAAGATGTAAAGGGGGAAACGCTGATCATGACAGAGGCTTTGATCCTGACAGTGAAGAGAGCAAATGTGTAGAAACACAAGTGCTAGGACTGAAGCAACAGATCAGAATTTGATTCTAAAACCATGTGCAAATGGAAATGCCTAGGGTGACAACTGACAGTGTGGACCTCAAGCTGATGTACGTGAGTACGTTTTGCTACCTGCTGGCTGTGTGACCTTAGCTAACTTACTTAACCTCTCTGGGGGCCTAAACTTTATCATTTGTAAAATGTAGGGTAGGTTAAGTGAAATACTGACTATAAAAATAGGGCCCTGAGCAAGCTGTTAAATATTGGCTCAAGATTCTGGGTTTGTGCCATCCGTGTGGGTGGAGTTTCTAGCTTCTAGTCTCAGCTGGGCTCTGCCCTGGCTGCTGTGGGCATTTTGGGGGATGAAACAGCAGCTGAGATGTGACTGTCAAGATTTGACTGTCTCTTTCTCTTTCAACTAAATAAAATTAATTACTTATTTTAGATGTTAAAAAAACTTACCAAAAACATAATGCGCATGATTCTACAAAGATCAGCACTGTGGCACACCCCATACAGAGAAAGCGGGGATAAAGTGGCTATTGAGGGGCTGGTGGCGGGAGATGTGTGTGTGTTCAGCAGGTGATGTGCCTTCCATAAGGCCCACGTTCAGCTTGAACTTCAAGTTCTCTGCTGCCCTGCCAGCTGGCGACCTCTGTGAGGCACGGCTACGACAGACTGATCTACTGTGTAAACAAGCCAGGCCGCTGCAACATGTGCTGTCTCCCCCGACGCCAGTTTGTCCATCCAAAAGCCAGGGCAAAAGACTGGCTGCTTTATTTAGTCGGGAAGCAGGTCACGGGGTGAGTCCTCCCGGACACTTGGTACCGTGACATGGTCTCTACACTGAGATCACTTGAGGCCCGGGCCCACGGCTCTACTGTGACTGGGTCCTGCCGTGCCCAGCCCGAGGCTGCAGTCCGAGAAAGCCGCAGCCAGACACCGCGTGGGGGCCGACACACACACATTGCACTTCCTCACCGCATCTGGGAAATGGCTAACCCTCGGCAGGGCGGTGAGCACGCACACTGTTCCTCAAAGGAGGGACTAAGGGCGGGCAGAGGAGTACCAAGTGATGCGATGAGAAGTACTAAGAAGCTTCTGGCCCAGGCGTGGGATCCCATGTGTGAAAGTCC